TTCGTCCTGGAACCCATGATCACGAAGGTCACGAGTGATGATATGGTCAACAGTGATGTGGTCCCCAAAGGCCTTTGACACAATGGTACTTGAGCCCCCCTTTTTGCGGGCTTGGGGAGCCAACATCTTTGCGCGCTGACATACCTCGCAGAACGGATTCTTGGGCCTGTGCGAGAACAAGTGCTCAACAGATTTGGCTTCAGCTTTCAGATCGGCCTCTGCAAGACTGCGGGCGTTTCCTTCGTTGTCACTGTCAGGTTCAACATCGGGGTCTTCGAAGATAGTGAGGCTCAGGATTGGGTTACCCTCCAGTCGGGCAACTTTGTTGTCAAGCTCCCTGACGTTCACTTTATCCTCAACCTTGACCCAAGAACCTTCCCTGAACAACCAAGTAGATCTGACTTCGCATCTTGGAAACCTTGGTGTGGCAGTACGAAACGTCTTTGGTTTGTGTCCGACAATCAAGTACTTAGCATTTGGGTGCGAAACCCAACCTGGTCTTTTGAGCTTTTCTTTGGGAATGTCTATTGGCGGCACCTCATTGATGGCTGCTGAGATCTCAGGATCGGGGTGCTCGACCACTGGATCTCGGTCCTCTGCTGCTCCTGCGAAAACCTCGGCCGGCCCTATTGGGCGGCAGATATCTGAAAACCCTCGGACAGAATTGGCCGTCCGAGAGATCCTGAGGCTTCTTCGTTGGTACTTGGGGCGGCCATTGCTCCTCCCCCAAGGACAGGCACCATACCTCTCATTCTACACCTTAGTCTTTGACCATTGGGCGCAACGAAGTAAGGCGGCTTTTTGGGGTACCAATGGAACTCATAACCGTCCTCCATGCACCTTCTTCCAACAGAGCAAACAGGAGGAGTACTTGCGAGAACGTAGAACTCTAGCTCTTTGCCAAACTCCGGGAAGTCGATCCTGACCGATTTGTCACCCTTGACATTTCCGTTAGCAGTGATGAGGTTTACTTGTCGAGTAGCATTGCCTATCGGCTCTTCGCCAAAGTACATAGCACGATCAGCTTCGCTGATGAGGTCCTCCTCGCTCCCCGTATCAGCAAGGAATTCTAAGGGCGTGGCGATTCCTGGACAGGCGATCTCTGAGCTCTCAACGACGTGCTTGCACATCCCACACATGAGAGAATCAGGCTCATCACATTCTAAACGGCAGTCGGTTCTCTCTCCCCCCTCATGCCGGGCAAGGAGCATAGTGAGTTCCCTTGCGTTCCTAATTGCAACCTGAAGGTCATTGTTGTCAGGTTTGGGGCAATTTTCCGCATCGGCATAGCAAGTGTTGTACCTGCGAACTTTGTAGGAATGCTTGTACCCCTTCCCTTCAAAAGGAATTTCCCTGACTTTGGGCTTTTCACAAAACTTGACCTTCTTGTTTTGTTCTTTGATTTTGAACACAGTCTTGCCAGTCCATGGCGTCTTGTCGTTCGTCCCCCCTTTTCCCCCTTTCCAATCCCAACTCTCCTTTGCTGTGTAGGGAGCAACGGGAAGAGTCTTGATCACCTTGGCCGTACCTTTCAACTTTTCAAGAGCAACAGGGCATGACATTTCAGGCTTGTACATAGTACTTCTGTAGTTCAGGTGGTGTCGGATGGCTTCACCCCTTTTGAAATCCACTTCCCAGTAGTCCTTCTCTCCATCTTGTGGGTCGTCTCCCTCGGGGCGGATTGAGGCTGCAGCCGCAATCGAGATGCAGCATGCGGCTCTCCTGTCCTTTTCCTTAGAGCGACCACGGCTTGGCTTTCTGCGCGTTGGCGCAGGCGACGGAGACCTTGGTTTGTCTGGGTCCTTAGGAGCCGGGGCTGCATTTTCACCACCTGTGGGAGCAGGGCTCGGTTCCCTATGCAAGAAACGGCACTTGTCTCCCCTGGTACATTTGCCTTTCTTCCAAAACGTGCATACCTGTTTCTTCTTCGGGGCGGTGCGAACAGGGGACTGCGAGCGTGGTTTGTGCGAGAACTTGCACTTGTCGCCCCTGGTACACTTACCCTTTTGAAAGTCGTAGCAAACTGGCTTTGGGCTTGGTGAACGGCTAGGTGATCTAGACCTGGACGGGGTCCTAGAGCGAGATCTTGACTTCGAGTTGGATTGGCTACCGGCAGAGCGATCTCTTCCCCGGCCACTCCTTGACGGAGGGCGTTGCGGCCTTCCGCCTCCAAGAACAGGAGCTCCAAACTTGTCCCCATGTGACTTAGCGATTCTATCCCTATTCTTACGCATCCTTTCACGGGTTAGCAAATCCCGAATGGACTTCAACAGGAACGCGTAGGAATGTGAGGCAGAACCTTCCTTGGCCCTATCATAGATCTCCAAGTCGTATTTCATCCTTGAGGACTTGCGGATTTGGCGGAGAAGAATGTCACGCAGAACCATTTCTTCTGGAACATGACTCATACCGGCAATGACTGACTCCCAATTGTGCAGGAATGTAGTCAAGTCGTCACTATGCAGCGTAACCTTCAACAGGTCTTCCACTGAATAGAGCGATCCTACTTCTTCATTGGTTTTGAAATACTGATCAAACATAAGCAACACTTGACGTCCTCGTACCGCACGTCCATGGACCGCCTCGGTTTCTTTGAAGGTGAGCACCTGTCGAGACAACTCTCCCTTGGCGACCTTGGTAAGCGCGGCTAGGATTTTGGTATCCAGCGTGAGGAACTTTCCCGGTTCACGAAGCTTGTCATGATCAGCGTCTTTTGCGTAAACCTCCAAAATCCAGGAGAAAGCTTCATCAGGTCTGTCTGAAGCTGCCCTAACCGCTTCCCGAGTTGCTGTTTTCCATGCACGGTACGTTTCGGGGTTAGGGAAATCTGGCAAACGAATGTTTTCAGCTTCTTTGACCTTTGGTTTGTCATCCTCACCGCTTTTATCTCCTTTAAGGAGCTTGGCGGCTTCCAGCAACGCTTGTTGCGTCTGTGCAATTAAATCAACTCCAGCGGCTGCCGGACTAGCCGGCGTGCCCATTGGGGCCGCGAGACCAGAAACTCCTCCACCTAAGCCAGTCGGGGGCACAGGGGTTCCCGGGGCCTGTGTTGGAGCTTGTGGCCCCGCTGGTGTGGCAGTAGTTGCCGCACCACCAAAACCGGAAAACATTGCTCTTAGGCTGAGCGGGATCACGCTTGGCGATGTAAACTGAGGAGCTGTCGGCACATTAAGGCCGGCACTTTGCGGTACCGTTGCTGGGGTCACGGCCGGAGGGAACTGAGCTTGGGACGCAGTGTCCTGAGAAGCATTCCTGTCCTGCTCGAGTTTGAGCGCACGCTCAGCTGAGGAGAGTTCGTCCTGAAGAACATCATTTTGACGCCTCATTTCCTCTTCACTCTCGCGGGCAAGTAACCTATACTGCTGCATTGCCTGATCATGTTCCCTACCAAACCACTCTCCCACCTCATTGAGGGTTTGTGTTTTGTTCTCCTCTGCTTCTTCGATTAAAGTTGTTCGAAGTTGCGTGATCTGCGAACTAACGCTGGAAAAATGTTCCGTTTGGAAAGCGATGACTTGGTGTTGTTGTCGCAGCTCCGACACGAGATGGTGATTGGCTTCGATAAACTGATATCGTTGTGTGGCAATCTCGGATTCGAGCTGTGCAACGATCTCCTCATGCTGTCGATTTGCTCGTTCTTCAACATTAGCGATTCTTTGGTCATGAGCATATTCGGCAGCCCGGCGGAACCTCTGGTGTCTGTTTTCTGCTTCAGTTTCAAGTTCACCGAGAAGCAATCTGGTTTGTTCCGGAGACTCACCGATCATGATGTTTTGCTGGAAATTCTGTCGATACATATGCAACTGTGGTGCGAACGGTACAGCTGCAAAAGGAGTTCGGGCGTTTGGATCAAACACATTAGTCCCTGCTGCGCCCTCTTCCAGTGCACCGTTCGAAGCAACTTGCTCGGAAGCAGTCTGGGGTAGTCCCACAGGAAGCATGTCGTCAGATTCCAGGTCGGTTGCCACTTCGGTGGGAACCAGCTCGGGGCTGTCTCCCATACACCAGTGTTTGCCAGAGTAACCAGAGGCGCCGCAGACTCAGTAGAGCCTACGGCTGATAACCTACAGTTTGGGAAATCCACCAATGCAATCCGTTAAGCCATGAAACACAGGCGCACTTCTACCTTTTTGTCTCAGAGGGCTTGAGTGCGATAGGTGCAACATACATGAAGGCAAAAGTGGCAAGGAGGTCCGAATATAAAATACAAACTTAACACCCCACACAGTGTCCAGTGCTTAGGGTCTGATGAGGGGTTTGTTGCGGATGCGCTGGGCTTAAGCTTTCAGCTTCGAAAGAGGTGCTGGCGCCCCAACACGAGCTGAAGCCGTCGTCCAATGGGGCTTTGAACGAAGGGTTTAGGGTTTAGGGTTTAGGGTTTAGGGTTTAGGGTTTGGGGTTTGGGGTTTAGGGTTTGGGGTTTGGGGTTTGGGGTTTAGGGTTTAGGGTCTCGGGTTCCGGGGAGCTTGAAAAGCCTAAGCACCTAAAGCCCTGAAGTGCCAAAGCCCCAAACCTCTAAGGGTAGATACATGGCCCCTTTTATGTGCTTTGGAGGGACCCTGATACTCCCAAAAGCCCCTCGTTGTCTGGAGCCACCTCCAGTTTCAATGTGTTTTTCGACGTACCTTCGCTGCTGGGATTCTGTCTTCATCTTGCTCAAGACCCCCTTCTCCGCGCAGACCTTGGAGAGGGACTTTGGCATTTCCCAGTCTTAGTAGCATTTGCCATATAAAGGCCAGGACCGAAGCAATTTCAAGAAATGACTCATCCTTTCTTTCAAACTTCTTGATGTCCACCATTTCGTGGCGCCGGCGGTTGGGAGACATCAAGCGTGCCCTCAAGGCTGTCCCCCACCGCCGTCTAGGACCTGACCCCCTAAACCCCTAACCCTAAACCCTTCGAAAGAGGTGCTGGCGCCCCAAAACGAGCTGAAGCCGTCGTCCAATGGGGTTTAGGGTTTAGGGTTTAGGGTTCAGGGTTTAGGGTTTAGGGCTGCTGGCCTGCTTCATCCCCGGCTGGGGGAGTCCCCCCGCCAAGCCCCGGCGCTGCACCAGCAGAGGCACCTCCGGGAAGGCTGGGGCTTTTCTTGTGGGTCCTACATTGGGTTTAGGGTTTAGGGTTTAGGGTTTAGAGTTTAGGGTTTAGACTTTAGGGTTTAGGGTTTGGCGTTTCAAGTTTAGGGTGTTGAGGGTTCTGGGCTTCTCGGCGTTTCGGTTTCAGGTCTGGGGGTGTAGGATTCCGGACTTACAGTCGTGAATTGACTCTAAACGCTGAAAGCGATCGTCGCAGCTGGCTTCAGTGCAAGCGGTCCTGCTGGCTTCGGCAAGGTACCGGAAACAGTAACCCCCAAACCCTAAAAACCCTAAAAACCCTAACCCTAAACCCTAAACCCTAAACCCTAAACCCTAAATCCCTAACCCTTCGCAGCAGGATCAAACGTCTTCGGCAAAACCTCCTGACTTCGGATAGCCCATCGATCCAGTCAACCCAGTGACACAAGCCATCATCCCACCTGCGCCAAATATGGCAGATCTTCAGTTTCAGAGAGTCTGGGTTAGCTGTTAGGCTGCGCACAACCATCCCTAAACGTAAATCCTAACCTTAGACCTTAAAACCTAAACTCGAACCAAGTCCCCACCCCTTCTTAGTTCCTCGACGCTGGGTCTCATGTCGGCAGAAGGGGTGGCTGGTGCTGAAGTCTTGTCCTGGATATGTCAACTTGGATACATTCTAGAAGCTTTTAGCTCTACACCTACCCCGAAAATCGAAAATTCATAAAGGCAGCCCTACAAACCCTAAACCCGAAACCCTAGTCCCTAAACCCTAAACCCGAAACCATACGGTTTAGGGTTTAGGGTTTAGGGTTTAGGGTTTAGGGTTCAGGGTTCAGGGTTCAGGGTTTAGGGTTTAGGGTTTAGGGTTTAGGGTTTAGGGTTTAGGGTTTAGGGTGTCCCTGGCGCCCGAAGGTTGATACACTCCTACTTCCCTGAGCCCGAAACCGAAACCCTCGGCCACGGGTGGTTTGGGGTTTCGAGGTGGGGTTTGCGATTTCGGGGATTAGGGTTTGGGGGGGTTTAGGGTTTAGGGTTTAGGGTTTTAGGGTTTAGGCTTTGGGGTTTGGAGTTTGGGGGTTGGGGGTTTGGGGTTTAGGATTTAGGGTTTAGGGTTTAGGGTTGGCTAAACACCGCCAGCGAGGTGCCTCGATGCCGACTTGGCCGTCGTGCGCCAACAGGACGTGGACCTGACGTGTAGCGGTCCAACTTCCCGAGCCCTTAAGCCCTCAAGCCCTAAACCCTAAGCCCTGAACCCTAAACCCTAAACCCTAAGCCCTAAACCCTTAAGCCCTAAACCCTTAAGCCCTAAAGCCCGAAAGCTGTGAAGCCCTAGAGCCATTAAGCCCTAGGTTGGCGGCCGGTGTCTCATGGGGTGAGCCCTCAACCCTAAACCCTAAACCCTAAACCCTAAACCCTAAACCCTAAACCCTAAACCCTAAACCCCCAAAAATTCAGAATCGAGGGTCCCGGGTTGTGAAGGTTTAGGGGCTGGAAGAGGCTCCAGGGTAGGGCTTTGGGGCTTGAGGGCTTTAAGGTTTGGGGAGCCGAAGCTCTTGATTGAGGGTAGTCGTTTAGGTTTAGGGTTTAGGGTTTGGGGTTTAGGGTTTAGGGTTTAGGGTCTGGGGTCTGGGGTCTAGGGTTTAGGGTTTAGGGCGCTTAAACCCAGGAAACCCTCCACAGGAGCCCTTAATCCCAACAGTGGGCTCGGGGTCCTCATATTAGGGATTTCCTAAGCCCCAAACATGCTGGTAAGGGTCTAGGGTTTAGGGTTTAGGGTTTAGGGTTTAGGGTTTAGGGTTTAGGGTTTAGGGTTTAGGGTTGAGGGTTTAGGGTTTAGGGTTCAGGGTTTCGGGTTTAGGGCTTCGACTTGAATTTCCGTCTTCTGGGCTGCAACCGGGAGGCCTCCATATCCGCGCGGCCGCGTTGAACCTGACGCGTGCGCGTGCGGGCCGAGGGTTTATAGGGTTTAGGGGTTTGGGGTTTGGGGTTTAGGGTTTAGGGTTTAGGGGTTTGGGGTTTAGGGTTTATAGGGATGAAGGCTTCAGGCTGAGGGGTTGGTCGAGGTTTGACGGCCTATCGAGGAACCTAGGAATAAGAAGGGTGCCCTTTTGGGTTTTAAGAGGGATTAAACGGGAACCTAAACCGCGAAAAAAGGGAGGGGTTGAGGGTTCCAGGGGTTAGGGTCTGCAGGTATTAGGGAAGGTTTCGGGTTTAGGGTTTGAGGGCTAAGGGTTTAGGGTTTGAGGGTGTTAGGGAGGGTTTAGGGCTCAGGATTCATGACTTCGGGAAGACAGGGGCTCTCAAACACAGACAGGACGCCTCCGGAACCGCGGCTGAAGGAAAAGACATACACGACGCGGCAGCACGCGAAACAACCAAGAGCAGTTTGAAGGACACAGTATGCAACACTCAAGTCTCTAAGGGTAGTTACAGGGTCCCTTAATATGGGCCCTTAAAGGTGGACCCCCTTATATACCCCTTATGCACCCTATACAAAAATAAGGGCCCAGACTTCAGAACCCTTTCAAGGAGGTTTGGGACCAGGTTAAGGGCCCCTGAAAGAACCCTCAGACACCCTCACCTCCCACTCTTCGGAACCTAACTCGCGCCAGCCTTGAGATCTACATGCCTACTGAGGGCTCGATCGCGCTAAACCCCTAAACCCTAAACCCTAAACCCTAAACCCTCAACCCTAAACCCGAAACCCTAAACCCTAAACCCTAAACACCCTGGAGCCCGGAAAAGGAAGGCCTGTGGATGCCAGCCATACCGCTCCTCAAAAGGGCGGCGTTCAAGCTCGACAGAGACTCAGTTTGCATGGGATCTTAATAGCAAGCCTAGAACCTTGATTGGGTTTCAGGGTTAGGGTTTAGGGGTTTAGGGGTTTAGGGTTTAGGGTTCGGGGTCATAGTGGCGTATCGCTTCTGGTTCAGGGGTCCTCCAGCTGTACCGCAAGCTCGCGACGAAGAGGAAGAGAGATGTCCTGCCGGTCCGAGAGAAGGTTGAGCCCCAAACTTTGGGTTTAGAGTTTCGGGTGACGGGTTCCGGGATTGAAATTTAGGCTCAGTCTGCCTCCAGTTCAACCCGTAAACCCGAAATATTCAGGCTGGACCGAAAGATTCAGGCTGGAACAAAGACTTCTGGAAGAACCATCATTCTCCACCTTGCCATAAACCGGGGTACCCTTTTTGGGGGGTCCCTTTACGGGTATTCGATTCTGTTTGGGTACAAAAAGGGGTACCCCTATTTGGGAAATACCCATATGATTATACTTACAGTCCTTAAGTTAAAAGGGAGTGAGTGAGTGAGTAAGCGGCGAGTTTCACACGGTGGGATGCGCAGCGGGCTTGCCCAAGGCGCCGATCCCTCCCGGCTTCTCAGGCGGCTCCGCAAGCGGCGCGGCGAACGACCCAGAATGAACGTTCCGAGGCCAGCAAGGCCCAGTTCAGCAAGTGAATGCCCTCGCACACAGCAACAACTGGACAGGCCCGCCACCAGCAAGCTGGCATAGGGCAAGACAGCGTGCATGCGATATGGCTCTTCACCAGAAGGTCACCCTTCAGGGTGTCGCTAGGCCAGGCAATCAACGTCGCCTCTGCATCGGGCCGCACCCGGCGTGCCCATCCTGGCTAACACACTTCTCCGTGGATCCCTCTACGGCTACTAAGTGCTTCGAGCACTCACACAGTCACACCACCTTTCCCGGAAAAGGGGAGATGGCAGAAGCTATATGCTCCCGCAGGCAGGTCTCACGACAGTCTACCCTCGGACTGGGTGGATGAAGGCCAAAACTGGCCAACACCCACCTCGAATGAGGATCGTCCTCATAACGGGGATTGCAATACCCCCCACTATAATTTCTACTAAGGGCTGTTCGCAAAGTATAAGGGGGTGAAAACCCCCAGTAAGGGTTGACTTCAGAGTGGTGTTCCTACCCCTAAAGTATAAGGGGGGAAAACCCCAAGTAAGGGTTGACTTCAGGGTGGTGTTCCTATAGGGGTAAGTTAGGGTTTGCAGCTGGGAGAGGTTGGAGTAAACACGGCAAGGCCCTACGACCGAGGGGCTCCTCGATAGGGTTTAGGGTTTAGGGTTTCGGGTTTAGGGTTTACGGTTTGGGGTTTAGGGTTTAGGGTTTAGGGTTGAGGGTTGAGGGTTTAGGGTTTAGGGTTCAGGGTTTAGGGTTGAGGGTTGAGGGTTGAGGGTTGAGGGTTGAGGGTGTAGGGTTGAGGGTTTAGGGTTTGGGGTCTGGGTCTTAGGGTTTAGGGTTTAGGGCACTCTGCACCCGAAATGGCTCTTTTCCGCACTTGGCGGCAAGCATTAACGTTGGGCAGCTGGCGTCGTGCATCCCACGCCGTACATTTTATGAGAGGTCGAAACGACCCTCGACCCGAAACTCGACATTTAAAGGATCTTAATTGGAATCCCCCCAAGAACATAGTAGGAATATGATTGCAAGATACTATCAGGGACCATATATATTTCCTTAAATTATATACTCTTTCTTGGGTTGTCTTCTCATTCAAGTCCCCTTACCCATTATGTCATTCTAACAGATCTCCACAGTTGTCTGCCACGGCTACGACAACAGACGCCTCTACGTGCCTACAGCTGGGGGCAACCCTAAACCCTAAACCCCAAACCCTAAACCCTAAACCCTATAAACCCTAAACCCTAAATCCTAAACCCTATAAACCCTAGACCCTAAACGCCCTCGCGCCCGGATCCCCCTCAGAGGAATTCCGCATCGCGCGGGCCGAGGCGGCCCAGCGGCAGCCGCGGGACCGGCGGCAAGGCAAGAGGGGCCATGGCCTTTGGGACGAAAGGATATTTTTGCGTGGGACTTGCAGTTCAGGGTTTAGGGTTTCGGGTTTAGGGTTTAGGGCTTAGGGTTTAGGGTTCAGGGTTTAGGTTTGAGGGCCATAATACTATCATTATCACTCAGAGCGACAATCCTACGTCTGCCTGTTATAGGGATCACGTTCTCGACCCAAGAGTAACCTACGAAGCGAAAGGGTGCCCTTTTGGTTCAAAGAGTCTTGCAAGGGAACCTAAACCTAAAGGGAAGAAGAGCCTAATTACACTGGGTCCAGTCTTTCAGGGCTGAGGTCTAGGGGTTAGGGCCGTTTAGGGTTTAGGGTTTAGGGTTTAGGGTTTCGGGTTTCGGGTTTAGGGTATCGGCGCCTGGCCTGCAGCGGCAGCGGGTAGTGCATCATGTTGGGCTTCGCTCGCTCGCGCGTCAGCCCCCTGTTGCGACTGTTTAGGGTTTAGGGTTTAGGGTTTTGGGTTTAGGGTTTAGGGTTTCTAAGACATGGAAGGGGGTTTCCAAAAAACAGGGGGTACCCTCATCTACTAATTGCTTAAGAACGCCCCCAAAAATAAAACATATTCTTCCCTATAAGGGTAATATAGGGATTCCTATCTTCTATTTTTTGTGGGCTCTTCAGCAAACAGTAGTCAATGGGGGGGAGGGGTTTCTGGACTGAGGACAATGGCATTATTGGGCTCATGATCACCAATCCATAAGGGTTTAGGGTTTAGGAAACCTGTGTAGGGGTTAGGGTTTTATGGTTTAAGGTATAGAGTTTAGGGGTTACGGTTTAGGGATTGGGGGTTAGGGTTTAGGGTTTAGGGTTGAGGGTTTAAGTCCCCTACATAATACGACACCCTTGTAAAAAAAGGACACCGCATACCTGGCTTGGTCCGTTAAAACCTCTCTAAAGCACGATTCTCCTAAATATGACCCTCTTGAGCCCAATAAATTAGGATTGAGGGTTTAGGGTTATAAAGGAACATGCAAAATATCCGAAAGGCCTACCCAGCAAAGAGGGTCAGTGCTTTCTTTGGGCTTCAAAAAGCGCAGGGGCATTAAATTGAGTTTACTTGGCCGGAGGGTAGCCTTGTGGTTTAGGTTCTTGGTAGCCTGGTCACCATATTACAACCCCTAAACCCTAAACCCTACACCCTAAACCCTAAAACCCCTTTGGGGTTGGTTGCTTTACAAGGGAACCTGGAACCCCAAAAGAGCGAGAAGGGTACCACTTGCGAGCGTCCGCCTCAGGATCGTGAGGGCGTCGTGTCTGAGCCGGTTGCTGACAAGGTCTTTGGCCTGGGCGTAGCTAAGGCTGCACCCCGAACCCCATGCAAGCCCTAAACCATTAACCCCACATACACCCTCCTGAGACTAAGCCTACACTCCTGAACTTCAGAAACTTCTCGACCCCTCGACGCTACGTCTAAACCTCAAAAACCGGGACATGTCTACCTCCAAAACTCTACTCGCCTTCATCCAAACTCCTGAACTCCTAACCCCTCTATGAATTCGCCAGTGGAGCTGGGGCTACCAAGTGCTGTGTAGGGTGTCTCCCTTCACCCCAGACCCCAAAAGGTATGACACAAGGAATCCCAGCTGTAGTCATCCTTAAGACATGTTCCATCTTTCTGGAGTTTACTGCTTGGTAGCCCAGCAACCATCTTATGACAAGGGCACCCTTTTTGGGCTTGGTTGCTTTAAAGGGAACCCAGAACCAAAAAAGGGTAAAGGGTACCACTGGGCTACCAAAACTAGGATGGCCTTTAAAGCCCTCTGAAAAATATTCCTAAATATGATCCTCTTAAACCCAATAAGGGAAAATATAAAATATCCCAAGGGCCTACCTAGAAAACTGTAGGGTGAAGGTTGAGCTTGAAGTGTCGAGAGCTTCCGGTCGACTGGGCGGCTGCGATGGGGGGGGGGGGTGGGACTACAGCGCACGTGGGATGGCACGTCTTGTGCCCTAAGCCCTAAGCCCTAAACCCTAAACCCTAAACCCTGAACCCTGAACCCTGAACCCTGAACCCTGAACCCTAACCCTAAACCCTAAACCCTAACTGGCGATGCGACGATCTCTTGTCTGTGCAGGAGCAGCCTCTAAGCGTCAAAGCCACGGGACTGCTAGGAGCTCAGCGTAAGCCCCTCGACACCCTTAACCCTAAACACCCTAGAAAGCCCCGAGAGAACATGGCTAGAGCCCCAAACTGTGGTCTCAGTTGCAGTAGATTCATTCTCATTCTCTTGGGGAGGAAATGGACCCTGAAAGGGTTTATGGTCCATAGGCCTTGACAGGGATTATAGTAGGAGAAAGGGTTCATTTCGTCCACAAGGGTCTGTGCACCGAAAAACTCCTCGGAGGTGTTTTTTCCCGATCTCCCTGGCAGCTGAGCCCTCCGCTGCGGCTCCCTTAGCTCTGTACAGCTCCAGCACCTGGCAGCTTGGGCTTCGGGTGCTTTAGGGGTTTAGGGGTTTAGGGGTTTAGGGGTTCAGGGGTTCAGGGGTTTAGGGGTTTAGGGGTTTAGGGGTTTAGGGTTTTAGGGGTTTAGGGGTTTGGGGTTTAGGGTTTCCTTTTGTGCCTTTGAGAGTTGGGAGGGGGGGGGAGGGGGGGGGGGGGGGGGAGGGGGGGGGGGGGTTGGAGTTTTGGGGTTTGCGGTGGAGAGCTTGGGGGTTCGGCTTAGGAGCTTCAAAAAAACACCCAATTCAAATTGGCCGATGATAGACCTGCTGAAGCCCCCCCCCCCCCCCTCCCCCTCAATTCGACCCCAGACCCTAAAGCCTAAAGCCTAAACCGGCTGGCAGGGGGGGAAGGTGGGGAGGGGGTTGAGGAGTCTTTAAAGGGAAGGTGGGGAGGGGGTTTAGGAGTCTTTAAAGCCCGCCTCAGGTCTTTAGGGTGAGAGGTCTTTATGTTTGAGGGCTTAGGGTTTAGGGTTGGGGGTGATGGGTCTGGGGTTTAGAGTTGAAGGACTCTATTGAGGATTCGGGGTGTAGGGCTTAAACGGTCTAGGATTAGGTAGAGGGTTTAGCGTGTCGGGGGTTAGGCCCTAGCACGGCGGTGCAGGTCACCCTCACCATAAACCCTAAACCCTAATTAAACCCTAAACCCTAAACCCCAAACCCTCAACCCTAAACCCTCGTCCCCATGAACCTGTAAGGCGCCGAGTCACAAACGGCTCGCGAGTTTTGCTGTCCACGTAGAGAGGGTAGCCGCAAACCTAAGGCTCACAGCTGAGGCCCCCAATCTGAACCTGGCTAGGGTTTAGGGTTTAGGGTTTAGGGTTTAGGGTTTGGGGTTTGGGGTTTAGGGTTTAGGGTTTAGGGTTTAGGGTTTAGGGTTTAGGGTTTAGGGTTTAGGGTTTAGGGTTTAGGGCTTAGTTGTCCAGTACCTAGGGGCACTAAAGGTTGAGCTTCGGTATTATAAGGGCATTATACTACCCCAAAAAGGTTAAAGGTTACCTACTCTACTACTAAGTTAGGTTCGGGTGCGGGACAGTAGCCTGAGCTGGGGGTCTAGGGTCTAGGGTTTGGGGCTTAAAGGGTCGGCGCTGAACAGCAAAAGTGGCCTTCCCTCCGACTCCCTCTTTTAACAGCCTTGTCATTGACGTTGTAATGTGCAATTTCGACCGATCCATGGTTTCGTCTAATATTTCAATCAGGTCTTGCTCTTTGTGACTGTTTAAAGGTTCTGCAAGACTTATCGAAGAAGCTTAAGATACAATGTGTTTCTGCTTGAATCCTATGAAATGTTTTTCTTGGCTGTAATCCGTCTTTAATACTGAAACATGTCTGAAGATTACAACATGACAACTACAAAGTACAAAGATGTTCAATGGTCAGCACGTCAACACCTTGTGCTTGCTTTTTCTGGGTTCGTCACAAACTCCATATTTCAAATCACAAATCAGCTGTGTTCATATTCCAAGGTTTTAAGTCACATTTCTGGAGGACGCATTCCGGACATTTACGTGGCTGGCCCAGGGATTCCTAGGTCCAAGAGTAACCTGGGAATGAAAAGGGGACCCTTCTTTCATTGGGTCTATAAAGGGGGTTTCAGAAAATCTTGTAGCCCTTTTTGGGGGGTCCCTGTAAGGCGATTCTATTCTATTTGGGATGTAAAAGGGGTATCCCTATGTTGGGAAACACCCATAAGGGAACCTAAATCCTAAAAAAAAAAAAGGAATGAAGGCCGACTCTGGGCCCTAGACTCAGGACCTGGGTTAAGTTGACATTAGGTATAAATGTCAACTGACAGTCGACCAGCTAAACCCTGCGAACCCTAAAC